TTTGGCACTCGTATTGAATAACACATTCAACGCACAGACACTCCCCCGACATATAGCGTCACTGTATGTGTGAATGAGTGCAGAGTTTTCACACATACTGTGAAAGTGTTGACAACAAACTCATTGCAAACCCATTGTCACCGCAACTGATCCCTCCAGAAGTCACTCACCACTGGACACAACGACTGATGGCTAACCTATTGGAGGCCATAACGGATCCCAAGACCACATCGACCGGTGATGTCGTCGACAAGCAATCCATGGATGAGTTGATAGCAAACGGATTGTACGCCAAAGCCATCCGCGGTCTCAGCCATCGGATCAACACTGAGTACAAGACAATTGGCGCACAAAATGGCGGCGAATCGGTGGACCGACTGCACCGGTATCTGCTGTTGAGGTCGTATTGCTATTACAAGTCACGTGTGGGTAATGAGAGCCTCGAGTTGGCCATCGATGACGCCATGGAAGCCATCGGTGTCGCAGATAATCGCTTCCAATCCTATCTCATGGGTATGTGTGGAGACAACAACCGATCCATTGGGTGATAGTGTCGGTGGCAGTGGTGGTGAACACCCATTGGCTGATGTCATGCATTGTGGGATCAATTGATGTGATGTTTCAGTGTTTTTAGGCATTGATTGGTGTGTTTTGGTCACCAATTAGTTCCCATTATCACTGATTGGTGGCTAAGAAGTGGTCCACCAATTGGTTGACACGTGTATTGACCATCAAATGGTGCCATGAATTGGTGAATCAGTTATGGTGTCGTATTGCAAGTGATTACCAGTTTTTTGGTCACCAATTGGTTCCCAAATCTAACGATTGGTTCCTAACAAGTGTACCACTAATTGATTTGCACATAAAATAATCACCAATTGGTGCCACCAATTGATTGTCACTCTTATGCATGGCTTAAGATGTATTACAAATCATCAGTATATTTGTCACCAATTGGTTACCATTTATTGACTACCAATTGATCCATAGATTAGCCATTGGTTGACACAATGATGGATAAGACATACCACGACTACTGACACTATCATCGGATCAGTCATTCATTGACTCGAAAGCCATTTACCATTGATTTTAACTGATAATTGTCTCCTCTTTTTAGGCGCTTTAATACTCTTCGAGTGGAACCGATTGGAGGACTGTCTGGAGATGTTGGAGAAGTGCCTGAGACTCAACCCATACATGTCTCGCGTATTGAATCCGCGGATTGTTTACCTGAAGTACAAGATATTGACTGAAATCATGGGCTTCCCCGAAGAGGTGTCCCTCAGGACTGCCATTCAGTACCGATATCTCAACGAATGCGTGGCGCGGATGCGGATGAATGACTTGAGCGCCGACTCCATTGACAACGACTTCAATATCTTGAGGCTTATCGACGACTCAGAAGAAGCGGACAATCAATTGGTTCTCAATATTAAGAGTAATTGTGTTTTGAATGCATAGCTCTCGCCGACTCTCTCGTAGTCTCTCTTATTGACAGATCTATAGCTCTCTTTCGATGTCTTTCTCACTAACTCTTTCATAAACTCACTCAGAGCTCTCTCTCTCTCTCCTCTCTCTCTCCTCTCTCTCTTTCACTCACTCACTCACTCTCACCACTCAATCGCGTCCATTATCTCCACATTATCTTCAGATTCAATGACCCATTGCTTGGACTCATCGACCGCTTCACCATCACTAGTGGACTCATTCGGTGATAACCTCTCCACCGATGACAACAACCACTCGACTAACCATTCAATAGATCCCTTTCTATGGCCGGCGTTATCCATGACTACCGGTCCGACGATCAACCACTACGGCGCCGGCGATCATCACCCGGCGCTCCGACAACAGCAGTCAATCGGTGGCCATACGTCCACACCATTCCCTACCGGAGCGCTCAATCGCACCGTACACTCCATGCCCGCCGGTGACCACCAATCTGTGGACAGGGAGTCGATCATCGCTGACAACGTCTCAGAGAGTGGACAGTCGTCGCTGGACTTGGAGTTCAAGGAACTGCTGGTGAACACAGCACCGGTAGAGCAGCCGTGGATACGCGTGAAGAGTAAATGGCGTTCAATACAGCATTGGGTGGACGAGAGCGCCGGTAGTACTACCGGCGCCGGCAAACTGTGCTCATTCGACGACCGCATCTCGCACTCACAGACAGCGGCGGCACCGGTAGCTAATTCATCGCCCGTTAAAAGCCGGCAGAAGCTCGAGCGCCGGGAGTCCACGTCGAGCGTCAGCAGCAGTCACACCGTACAGTCATCGGCGACGGCACCGGTAGCCGGCAAGCCCTCGCACGAGACCAAGGGCTACGTGAGCGGACCGGTGACTAACCTACTGAAACTCCGGGGCGTATACGTGGGTCACCTCAAGACTAACTGTCCCCAGAAGGCGCTGCTGGACGTGTTCAAGCGGTACGGATCGGTAGTCGACTTCTACCAGCCCTCCGGCGAGTGCTACGCCTTTGTCCACTACAAGATCGCTGAGTCGGCCACACAGTTGGTGCACGACTGGAACGGTAGGGAGTGGGCGGAGGCGTGTATGCCGGGCCGCAAAGTGATCGCCCGGTTCACCGCCAGTCAGGACCAGATGTCTAAATACAATGCCATGAGTTATGGCGAGTATAAGAAGCGGTGCGTAGAGGAGCCGCACCGGGAGTGCGACCGGTGGCGGTCCGGCAAGAGGTGTCCCTACGATAGGCAGTGCCCCTACAGGCATGTGTTGGCTAATAGGTCGGTGGATACCCTACCGGATAAGCGTAAGAGTAAGTGGAAGGTGTGAGTGGGAGGTGGGGACTGGTAGTAGCCTTTCCGCTCGTTTTGTTTGTTGATTAGAGGGAACGGTATGTCTTATTACGGTACTGTTTTTTTGGTATGTTTATTATAGTATAGTACCAGTGAATGCTGATTACATACCCCTGTCCACCCGTATATAACCGTTTGATTAAGCATTTAGAGGGGAAGGGTATGTGT